TCTTATGTGGTCAGTGGCATTAACCACATATCAGTCATTCTGCTTCACACTGTCCATCAGTATCCTCTTCTTACCTCCTTCAAGGAATCTCATCACAACCATCCCCTGAAATTTATTAAATTTAAAATAAATTCTCCTTAGTTGCCACTAACAAAATATTTATTTATTGAACTGTAAGGTTGAAAGAAAAGGCAAGTGTTCAATCCCAGCATGTTGAAAAGCCTACTAAGGATGATGGAAATCTTTCCATTGATTTTAGTAGACTTTAGATCAGGTTATATACAAGCAATTTCTGATGTGTGATTCATCAAGACATAATCCTGACTGCACTAAAATATTTACCAGTGACTTCAGCAATGCTACAGTTTCACTCACAGATTTTCATTGTTATTAGTTTGGTAATCCAAATAAAATGCAGTTTTACGTTGGCTTGGGATAAGAAGGATATGAAAGGTTCTATCTGCAACACACACAAGGATAAGCAGTAATTATTTCCTGTGAGAGAATGTATAAGAAGGGGAGAGGATGACTTTTTATTATGGATGGAGGTCTGTATTAGCATTGCCCTCCTCAATGCACTTTAAGGGGCAATATTCAGATGTAACACTGACCTACAGGCTTCTAATTATCTTGTCCTAAACCCTGATCAACCTGGCTATTCTTGCAATAGTGAATTTCTCTTCAGCAAAGCATTTCCCTTGCCAAAGTATATATTTTTTGGCAGCATCTGGCACTTTCCAGCCCTGGAATCTGATGTAGGCTTGTAAATTGTGCTAGGTCGGCAAGGTTTTCACCTTCCAGAGCACTGAATTGGTGTAAAATAAGACATTATATTGATTCCCATTCTTCTTCCAGTTTTTTTTTTACTCAAAAGTATCTAAACACTGAAATTCCTGCTTCATATCCCAGCACAACACTCAAAACTATAACACCTTCTCTTCACACATTGCAAATATCTTGGAAATTACTGTATGAAACATAATGGCTCTATCACATGCTTAATACATTTGATGGCCTCCAAAACAGCTATTCCATAGCAAGGGCAGAGTACAGCAGTGTATGTGAGAGGAAATTGTTACAAGTTCTATACTTTGGAAACAAGATTAGGGGAAGAGAAGAATTCCTTCCCAATTCCACAATGAAGGAAAAAATGCTTCTGAAAGTATATTTCTAGAAGACAAAAAAAAATTATTTAACTATGTGACAGATTAAATAAGCACAGTCATACAAATTACAAATTGAGATTTTCTGGAAAACAGCTACACTTGTCTCACTGACTTTAAAGAAGTGAAATAGTTATTTTACTTTGCATTTGAAATATCAAAGAGTTTTTTGGGTTTTTTTTCCAAAAGGTGAAGCTTATAAATCTCTCTTATTCAGGCAAAACACTCTGTGAAGTCTTGATAGATTTCTCTTACAGATCAATACTAAGTGAGTGTCCATGTTTTCCCAGTCTTACTTGCCTAGGATTTCAGAGCAAAGAGCAAACATCTTCTTGCATTGAACTCAGTAGTTAATACAATCTAGCATTCCACAAAGCAGTAGCTGTAGTGCAATATCTCAATATTAACAAATGCAGATGCTTTCATAAAGATTTTATTTGTGCATACTGATAAAGCTTATCCTCTATTCTCATGCATATTAAATTAGATTTCAGAGCTAGGGCATCCATTCATTGAGCATTTATAAATGCTAATATATGCTCATTTTGATGAATACAAACAAAAATCAGTCTAAGCATAATAATTTTTTTTGCATTAACAAAACATTGAAGGAAAATGGAAACTAAATATTAAATATTGTCACTTTAAAATGTATGCAACTTATTTACATGAAAATCAGATTGCCTACTTTGCACATTTAAACTTCGAGGTATTTCTGGTAAGGGACTTTACAACAATCTCCAAGATTTGTTATATGCTTGTTTGTTTATTTGCTTGTTTGTTTGTTTTAACACTTCATAGAAGAATCAAAACCCAGGCATTTCCTGCTGATTGAACATTGACTCCTAATTTTTCAAATACAGACGAGAAATTCCAGAGTGCCCTCAAGAAGTATTACCAATATAACACTAATCTATTTCTTCAAGCTTACAAGCAGACAAAAAGTGATATCAACAGTCTCTTATTTTGCATATGCAGGCATTTATAATGCCAAAATAGACAGTACTAGACCTAACATACAGAAGGTAGTCAAAGCGGTACAGAGATTCATAATTAAACAGCACACTGGCTGGCATTTTCTTTAGAACAACTTGGCATAATATTTAATTGCTAAATTGGAAATCAAAGTGAATAACTTTGTACTACACCAGGTGCATACATTCTGTGATTTAGGACAAATAATTTTTAATTTCATTCATTTTCCTTGAGTTCAGTTTCCTAGAAGTTGTGCATGTATGCTAAGACTAGATCAATTAGCTTTATCTGTAGTTGATGAAAGAACATTGTTTCCTTCAGAGGACAAGAATAAATTTAATTTTAAGCAAACCATTCAATACAGGAATAATTCTCTCTTCATACACACCTGCCTGTTGACTTCACTGTCTTAAACCAGATGCCTAATTTTCAGAGACCAGAGATGAGCAAAATGAATCTCAAACTCAGTATCCCTAGCCTTCTGTGCCATCATAAGGCACATAGCACATGCAACTCAAAACCTCCCCAACTACCAGCTCCAAGTCTGGATCTAGAACACAGGATGTGCTTCTTCAATTACTGTGCTGTAATACAGCACCACAAACTCTCAGCCTGTTGTTCAGGCCACAGGAAAATCCTGTCTGACTGACCTGCTGCCTTACAGGATGCTCCCATACATCCTGATACTGTAAACTGCTGTCAATGCTTCCAAATTGTACCTTACCCTGATGTTTTGATGGAAACATTTTGAGTTTCTTTCTAAAAGACTACAGCACTCTAGTAGGTCAATGGCCTTTCACCATACTGTAAAAGCTGCAGCTGAAGATTGTCTCTAATACTAGATTAGGATTAAGTCCACTGTTTTTCAGATTAATGGCATATTTCTGAATTACAGTCTACATGGCACTCTTGAGTTCTACTGCTTGGCTAAAAAAGATAAAACATCAACTAGAAGGAGTCACATAAAAGTTCCAGGACACATAACCCCAGGTCTTTCCTACAGTACTAGAGTAGATTATTTTTGCTTTTATCCTGTGCTGTTTCTCATGTAATTTCTAATTTTAATATACAACAGTAGATCATAATTCTACAAAAAATGCCTAGATAACCTGACATTTGAAACTTCTGTAGTTCTACATCAGTGTTTTTCACACTCAAACCATTGGTAGAGCAGAACCAGTGGCAGCAACAGTAGGATATTTTGGAGGGATGAGGAAGAACAGAAGGAAACAAGTGTAAACAAGTCCTGCCAAATTACTCCACTGACTGCATTATTTAAAGGCAAGTACTGTTAGGGCAGAAGCCAGCTGTTTAACTACTGGGATCCTACACCTTGGACTGCTTTCAGGGGACATCACTGTCACTAGACTTTGTATCTGCTTGTCACACATTGAAACATCCATAGGTCTGATAAAGTAGATTAAACAAGAGCCAAATATTCTATTAAGTAAACTTTTACCTATATGATATAAAATTATTTTGAGCTACCAATTGACAGAAAATGAAAGAAACCTCCAAGGAAATCAGCGTACATCAGCAAAAAGGAACGCCTAGGACTGTTGTATGTCCACAGGCAGAACTTTGAAGGTTGAATAAATATAAGAAACTTTTGATAACAGCTGGAAGGCAGAACTCAAACTCCATCAGAAATATGAGAAATAACTATATGGGTTCCCAGTATAGTGACACAGAAGGTGCAGTCCATACTGAAAACAATACTATGAAAACAAAAATCAGGAGGAGAAATTATATTAGAAATGTAGAACCACCAACCATTTATTTACCAATATGGATTATTGTCCAGAAAGAAACTGAAGTGCTTAGCTGCATCAGTCCCTATGTAGGAGAGCACCCAGGCATGTGCTCACTGTTTGATATGTGATTTAATCCAACACACCACGTCGGAGCTTGAACATTTGCCTAGATCTAAGTGAATACTTTGGTAACTTGATGAACTAGGACTATCTGATCCTGCAGTCCTGCCAGAACAGATGGGCCAAACAGTGATAACATCTGTAGAAGTGGTGGTATCTCCTTGTAATTCTTTATCTCATCTTTCTCTGTGATAGCATCTTTGTATACTGCAGCACTTAAGAGGTCAGCAGCAATTTAAAATCTATTGCTTTAAAATTGCTTTAGTCATCAGATACTCCTTAATCATGATTGTGCACCATGATTACTGAAAACAGCGTATTTTTTTCCTGTTAATTTTCTGTCTCCATTGTACAGCACTTTAGGCAATATCACTTTCTACATCAAATAAATTTCAAGTATACTTGATTGCTTAGGTCTTTTGAAAGCCTTTGGAAAACATTTCTTGAAAGAAAAATTATGACTTCTCAATACTAATGTTACCTTTATATACAGATATATATAGGATTTATATAAATCCTATTTATATATTTATTTACTTATATTTATAAATATATTTATATAAAAGATGAGCATTTATTGTGCCATGTGATGCACAAATATTTAGGCCTACAAATAAGCTAATGTCACGTTTCACAGCTCACACCATCACTGATGTGATAGATTCCATTCCCATCTTGTTACATGTACCACACAGGCTTTTTAAAGAGCTATTAGGCATTATATAATCCTTTATAAAATTATTATTCTGTAAAAAAGAAAAACATCACCTAGGTATCTGTGGTCTGGCAATATTAAAAATTATTTTGAAGCACTCTGAGATTTTCACCAGAAAGATTCCAGGATTCAGGATCTGCATTAATTATTTATGCATATTTATGATAGTGTGGAAAAATTTTGCTTCTGATTACTAAATAAAAGCAGGCAGTAGACACAGGTTAGTAAAGGTGATTTATTAACTTTATAAATGATTAAATTTAGACACTGAAGGGTAAAATGAACAGAAGCTTTTAGGGTATGCTTGCTTATGAAAAATTGACAAACTGATAAAAGAAACGGAAGGTTAACTAATCAGTTCTTTCCTTTCAGCTGGATCTTGTAAGAAGGGTTACACCTGCATAACCAGGAACAGAATTTTCCCTTCCATGCTTTAAATGGGAGCAAGAAAAAAATGTGGCACAGATGTGGGTATACTGCAAAGTAATGACACTCCACACTTTATTAGAACTACTAAATTTTAAAAGTATTAGGCTAAAAAAACCAGATTAACAAATTTTAGGAAAAATCTCCAAGGAAAAACATTTCATATTATAACTCAGTGAGGGAAAATAGTCTGGGGAAAAAAAAATCCAAACAAACCAAACTCTACATTTTAGTATTTGTAATACTTTTCAGTGATACACATAAAACAACACACACAGACAAACCAAAATATTACTGTAATCTACTCCTGGCTTGCTGTACTGTTTAGTCTAATGAAACAAATAATTTAACAGGCAATGTACAATATAGAGGCCCCAAATGGATTGCAATATACTAAGTAAGCATGTTTTTCTTTTTGCACAATTTATAGTCCCTGGGGAAAAAAAAAACCAAAACAAGACATATAAAAAAACCTGTTTTCTGCATTTACAAAGTTCATAGGGGTAGACTAGAGGTCTTTTAATTTACCAGTGTTCTAAGGCCTCAAGGGTTCTTCATCAGTAGATACATGTTTTAATCACAGGGATTATCTAGTGCTGTCTCTTCAAATTGACAACTGCAAGACAAACACATGCATATCAGCCTAAACTTTGCTATATAAGCATTGGGGGCAATAATTTCCCAAAGAAAAGCTGAATATTCATCTTTTTTGATATCCTTATCCCTTATTTAACTTGAGTCATTCTTAAAATGTAAACTCCTGCCAAATTCTGTGAATAACAGATTTTTGGTCTCAGTGATATAACTGAGAAGGAGAAAAGAAAAAAAAAAAAAAAAAGGCAAGAAAAGAAATTGTTAGAGCTGACTGAATTGAGTTACTTCATTTTTTGGCTCTTGGCACGCTTGTCTTTTTTTTCCATATTTTTCAGTTCTTAACCAATGTGGATCATTCTGTAAATGGAAACATTTAATGCTGAAAATGTCAAAACAAAACACTTAATCTTTTCAGAATTTTACTGTCTAAAATCAAATTCTACCAGAATTTTAAGATTTAGTGAGTAAGCAAGTACTTACTTTTTGGGAGTTTACTGTTCCTTCATTTCTAGTTAGTCATAACAGGGCAACTGCACATCTGACTTGGTCGTGTACAAACAATCCCAGGAAATAATGGGCCTTTAATCCCTGTGTGGGATAGCAGAGAATTCCGCAGTTAATAAGGAAATCATAAACCACAAGGGGGAAAAAAGACAAAAATACAAGTGTGTAAGAGTTGCATGAATGAGTACGTTGGCCTTTACTGGAGCTGAGTGAAAAATGCAAAATATTTGCCAGTTAAGTATTTTCCATAGATGGCTGGTGCATATGCAAAGCACAAGAAAGCCACACTGTATCAGTCCCATTTCTTATCTTGTGCAAATCTACGGACCATAAAAATCTTCCACTTTTATCTGTTCCACCAACCTTCCTATTTCATTGGTTACCTTCTTGCTTTGATTCCTGCTTCCCACTTTTAAGCTTGCAGATCTTACAGCCTTTGCAGTGGTACACAGCATTTATTTCCCTTTTGGAACACACTCTGAGTTCACACAGTACCTCGGTCTAGCCCTTTTTATTAGGAAATGCTTGTCTACAACACAGTAGTGATCTATGGGTTTTACACACCAGCTACCTCAGTCGTCTCAACCATCAGTTTTCATACAAAAGCTAAAAGGCAAATTTCCTTTGTAGGGTTTCTAAACATCAAATTTCAGCTTCCTCTCTCTTCATTTCAAGCTAATGCAGTTCAAGAAAATATTTTAATAGTACATTTCTAAAAAGGCATAGATATATTCAAATGCTTAAATAGCGACCACACATAGACAGAGATCAAAGCTGTCCATTTCCAGGAATATCTGGAAAGGAATATTCAAAGGTGTATCTGAGAACAGGGTCAGAATAGATACACACAGGCAGCCTCTACAATGGTCATTGGTGATTCAACTAGCATAATACATGTTAATAATATGACTGCTCCTGAGATCTTTGCATTTCCCTTCTAACATAAAAACTTTCCCTTTGTGTTTTGAATAGGTAAGCCCACGGGGTATGGATCCAGCAGTAGACGTTTACACCACAAGGGAATAGTGGATGAATGCTGCTTCCAGAGTTGTGACCTGAGAAGGCTGGAGATGTATTGTGCTCCAATAAAGCCGCCAAAATCCGCACGGTCCGTACGTGCCCAGCGCCACACCGACATGCCAAAAGCACAAAAGGTAGGCCAGGCTGGGAAAAATTCACGAGCAACAAACAACCAAACAAGATTAATATAAAAAGAACCAACAACAAAAAAAAAAAAAAAACAAACCACCAAACATAAAAAGTCAAGCATACCTCCTATGTATTTTAGGGAAGGAAAATTCTATCAAGGCTGGTAACATAGAAAATAATTGATGTCTTCTGCCCACTAGATTTGGTGGAACTTTGGAAAATAGTTGCCAAGGTGGGAAATAAGTGGGAAGTGGTGTATTCCATCTCATCTCTTAGAACACTGAATAAAACATGGAATTGCTAAACTAGTAGCTGTGAGGTCTTCTCCTGCCATTGGATAGTAAGTGACAAGTACCCACATCATCCAATCATAAATACCACCTAAGTCTTCTTTCAAAAGAGAAACTGAACACTGAATGTTTAACAACTCATCTATCCAGAATCTCTTCACTCATCCTCCCCTTTTAGGTAGAGATAGAGCGAGTACTCCAGAAGGAAATCAGACATTCTGCTATTCATTCTACATTTAAAGGAATTTTTTTTTCCTTCACTAGTTTTTGCCTTCTTTTTTTTCTTATTTTTCAGAACTAAACTAAACGGATAATCACTGCAATCATTGCATACTTCATTTTAACTATTTAAAGTTCAATATGTATATTCTGCAAGCCTCTTCCAATACTGATGGTATTATTTATATGGTTGTAGAGTTCTGAGTATCTAGATTTTTGTTCCTCTGACATGAGATGTACAGTACACGTATGTACCTACAGAACCTATAGTTCAGAAAACCCATTTCAGAATAGGCTACAATTAAGCTCATGTTTAACCGTCTCTCCTGTTTGAGGTCTGAACATCTGTTTTACATATTATCTGTCTTCTGCTGGAAGTCTCTCATGATTTATTTTATTGCTGTTGACCCTGTCTGTCCTACACACATGTTGGCACCACTCCTGCAGTTATCTGAAAATTTTTGCTTACAAGACCTGGAACATGAGATTTCATAGGAAGTCAGAAAACCAATGCTGTATATTAAAATCCTTAATATCAACTTTATGAAAAGAACTATCATAATCATTCCAGAATCCATTATTTTCCATAAATCAATCCATAGAATGGAATCCTTTCCCCCTTCTTCCTCAGGAGTTTTCCAAAAATCAGTGTCTGTATAATAATTCCTGGGAAGTATCACCTTGAGACCTCAAAGGGCACGCAGGGCGAAAAGTGAAGACTTCTTCAGATGGAGCTCAACTGCAGACAAGAAACCCCAGGTTTAGGTTTATTCTTATCTGGGCACACATAAACTTAAGGAAAGCTGAAGAAAACTTAGGGAAAAGAAGAGAATAGGCTTGGCCAGGAATCCGTGTGCTCCTTCTCATGCTTGTTGCTAAGGTGATGGATAAAACATTGGAGTAAAGGAGACAAGATACCTGCCAGCTCTTTGATGGATCTCCACACCACTTTCCTTGGAAGACTAAAGAATGATGTCATCTTTAGGCAGCTGTCCTCTTCCCAGTTCAAAACACAGGCAGGAGAGAACTGTTTTTTACAGACAGGAAAGACCTTGTATCTTTCTGCAGCATCAGGGGACGCAGCACTCAGGAGGGGTACTGGAAGAAGGAAAAAATAGAGGGAGTATGCAACTGAGTAACAGAGAGAGCATAGCTGCTGAAGAAATCATCCTGGAAATTAAAAAGGGAAAAAATCAAGAGGTGAAAAGGGCAGTAAAAGGACAATGGGTAATACCAAAAAAAAAGAAAAGGGTGAGGAGATTAGATCAAAGAGGTCAAGAAGATGTAAAATATTGTAAACTGAGTGAGCCAACATGCATCAAAAATAACGGATGGAATTTTTAGAAAATAAGAGAGAAAATTAAATTAGAGGCAAATTAATATTAAAGAAAACACCTTTACAGAAACTGTACATGGAAAAGAGTGTTGAACAGAATAAAACAAATCGCAAATGTTTCTCAATAGAAACTTGGCAACAGAATAACAAATATGATGGAAAATACAAACAATTTTCATTTTTACCTGTGGATGGAGAAAATTAGATTGAGGAAATGAAAATACAGAGCAGTTACGAAAAACTATTATTTAGATTTGTGATAGATAAAATCAAAGTACACTGGAAGGAAGAGAAGCAGAATTCAGTATATATAATTCAGTATATATAACTGGTATATATTATCATTTAGTTTTTTCTTCCTCTTTTTGCAGTCAGTTGTACATGCCACCATTAAGGAATGCAACAATGTTCAAACTTATTTGGACACACTCTCCCAAGGCAAATGTATTTAGCTAGCTCATAGTGTCGATATGTCACTGGTTTTAACTATAATAATAGATATATTTAAGCAGATTATTTTTCTGTTAAACAATTTGTTTCTCTCAATATGTTATATATGACATCTATATCTTATTCATATAAAGTGAATATATATACCTATGATTATATATATATATATATACACAACCTCATCAGAATTTTCATATTTAGATGCAAGATGTAAAGTAGGACTAGGTGAAATATATGTGTACAGTTCCTCTCAGATCTCATAGAGAATCAGTTTCTTATGCATTTCATACATCTGACAGTCTTCATTCAGCATCTCCTTGTAATCTTTTTAAATGACAAATCCAGTAATTGGGGTTTTGTTTTAGTGTTTCTAGTGCTTAAGTAAATGGTCTATTCTCCCACTTGGGCAGATGGTTCCTGCTAGGCACAATATGGTGGATGATCTTAGTTCAGTGGACTAGGGATCTTATTTACAGTTTCAATATTTCTCCTGGAAGTCAAAATAATGGTTTCTTCTAGTTTTACATTAGATTTAGTGTTTTAAAGTGCAAAACAAGTGCTAGAAGGGGAGTTGAAGTCCTGTCTTTGGAGTCATGGTACCATCTAGATTTTCTTTCATTTGTTTCTTTCTCTTCTGAAAAATGCTAAAAGTTTAGTCGATTACCCTTAAGTGAATTAATTTTTAACAACAATTTGGAAAACTAGCTCCTTGAAAAACAGCTACCCTACTAAAGGAAACAACTGAGACATTTCCACAGCTCTACACGAGGGAAGATTGTGACCTTTCCAAATGAAGAGGTGTCACAGAAACAATGTCACAAACTGCTTATAAGTTCAATATTCAAGAACTTGAATGTTACTCCTGAAGGTGAAGGCTAGTAAGGCTGATTTTAAAATCAAGTACAAAAAAGAATCATACAATCATTTAGATTGGGAAAGAACTCTAAGAACATTGGGTTCAGCCATTAACTCAGCACTGCCAAGTTCACCAATAAACCCTGTCCATAAGTGCCACGTGTACATATATTTTAAATAACTCCAGGGCTAATGATTGCACAACTTCCCCAGGCAGCTTTTTCAGTGCTTGACATTGCCTTTTGTGAAGAAAGTTTTCCTGCCATCAAATCTAAATCAACCCTGGCACGTCTTGAACTTGTTCATGAACACAGTGCCATGTCACCCCCTTGCAACCTGAGCAAAAGGGAAAAAGAGGTACATATCTAGATAAAATTTTGCTCTTCCTCAGATTTTCAGTCCTTATTCATCTTTAGGCCTCAAAAGTGAAAAAAACCACAAATATATATACCAACAAAGTGTAAATAGGAAGTGGATTCACTCAAAATGCTTTTCTGATTTTATCTAACCTTCAAAATGTAAATAAATACTGAGGGGGACTAAAAGAGAAAGGGAAAAGGTATTAGTATTTTTAGTTTAAGAGAACGCCAATAAGAAAACAGAAAAAGTATTGCATAATTTCTCATTAATTTTTTCTAAGACTAGCAGATTCTTTTGTAATTGGCTCAGTTTCAACTTACAGATACATTTATAGGCCAAAATATGCACCAGGGCACCAATCCAAATTTCTGTTGAAGCTATGCCACATCACCAAGCCAATGAGTGAACTTTTAGGTGAAACAGATAGAAGGACTTGGCCTTTTCAGAGAATTATTTTCTCCCGTTGCTTCCTTTGCAGCCCTGTTTTTATGTCAGTGATCACACTGCCCACAGAACTAGAAAGCTTTCAAAGAGACCCCAGAGAATTCATAGCCAAGGTATCATGACTGTTACTACAAACATTAGGATTTCCATTTATTACCAGTAGAGCAAGAGAACTTTCAATGCCAGTATGAGGTTTGAATGTCTGCTCTAATAGGATAAGAATGTTGCTGCATGCTACCCAATACCCTTCCAGCTCAGTCAAATGACCATTACCATCACCGATGTAGTTGTTATCCTACTGTTGATGATGCCTTAACTACTATCACTCTGAAGGTGATGGGCTAGAAGTCTCCTTCCCCTTTCTTTAGCTGACTTATACATTGCTGACATTTTGCATCTCTCATCTTGAAGATTTTCTTTGCCTGGGTCTGAATATCAGCTCGGAGCAGTTTTATTTCTAATTACCTTCTTCTCAAAGACTTGAGAAACAAACCAAACTTTTCTATGCCAGTACAAATGCAGGTCTGAGAACCTAATTCAGCCAGCCACACCTGGTTTGGGGGTCTGTGCTTCCCCCCTGCAAGTGGTCTCAGCATTTCATACTTGAAAAAAATGTGTTATGTGGGTCAAAGCATCTTCTGGCATGCATGCTACTACCAGTACACTATTAGTAGCTATTTCTCAAAATGCTGATTCTGGAGAAGGAAGTGTTTTAAAAGCAACCTGCCATCTTCCTTCAATTTCAAAGCTGTCTGTATCATGACAATTCTTTTTCCACCTACTTGTCAGTGTTAAAATCTGTAAGTGAAACACTCCTGCATCTTAGTACCTGCTTTATTTGAATGATAAAGCTAAAGTCAGACAACAGCAGCAGAGAGAATTTACATTTTCATTTGGGAAACATACAGTTAATTTTCAATCTAAATATACTTTGAAAATCACTGCAATGCAAAATGGCTGTTGTTTCATTTTAAGGCTCTCACTGTCCATTTTGTAGATCAAGAGTTCATAATTTTTAAGAATATATGACTTTTGGCAGACAAAATGAAGCATATAGCTTTTCCTATATGCTGTTCAACTCTCTTCAAGGCACTTAGGGTCAGCACTGAGAAGAATATTTTCTTCTGTTGCTGTGTAGAAAAAAAACCAAACTGGGCAGATGAGTAAAGAAATTCCTGTTTTCTTAGCTCATTGTAACCAATATAAGCACTTGTAGAATAACGCAGAATCCTTAGTGTTGGCAGACTCCTGTGAAATTCTGCTATGATGATTTTAATGAAAATCAGTGAAAATTTAGGGGTTCACACAGACTGAGCCCTTCAGGGTGAAAACTAAGGTATAACTTCGGAAAAAGGTGAAGATAGCAAAGGTCATCTTGGAAAAGCTAGAAGAGACACAGGCAATGAAAATCAAAATATATTTTAATTTAAGGATAAGCAGAATTGTGTTGACATTTCTGATTCTGTATTTGATTGATGCTATTCTACAGCAATATTAGCAAAACTGGATGAGGACAAGCCAGTATCCTTCTGAACTGTTCACAGGAATAGTGACTAGATGATTAATCTAGTCTATAATGGCATATTCATAACAAAACATTTATTCATTATGATTATTTTGCTGTTAACAACTTTGACTTGTCAGTGATGATAAATCCTAGTTTGGCTCAATGTCTTATACTTGGTGGTGGTATAATAAATTTAACAATTAATAGTACTGCCTAATTTTTGTTTTACATTTTTCAAATAATAATTCCTCTCATATCCATCAGAAGCCAATACAAATCCAGTGAAAATTAATAAGCTCTCTATGAGTTCAAGTGTTGTGATCCTTTGAAAGTTTCTGATTTTTTTTTTTAAATTTAATTTCTGATTTTATTTTTAATAGATACTGAAGGGAAATGTAAATGTTAAATGTAGAATAGTATTTTCTAAGGAAAACCAAAAAAAAAATGCCCACAAAACCAATGTACCATATTAACTTCCATTTTATTTCTGTCCATTGAATAGCAAGAAAATGTGATTACTTTTTAAATTTCAGAGGCTCCTTATTTTTAGGGCTTAAATAACAGCTAATGCAGTTGTAGAGCTATATACACATGGCTTCACCTTTCACAGAGTTTGTTTTTATTATTTTTGGCTTTTCTTGGAAAAAAAACCCCATCATTTCATTTAACTAAGAGTTTGACTTCTGATGAGTATTATAAATATGGAGAGTCACTTAAAACTTCTGGCTTTAGTCTGATACAGAATATGGAGTCTTGGCTAATATTTACTAGAGTGGCAAACAGGGAAATCAAAATGAAATGTATATACCACTCCCATCACTGCTGCTGAAGACTGGCCTCTGTGTGGAATGACAGGGAACTGAGGGTATTATTCATTCCAAAGCGCTCTTGATTTGCCTGGCACATCACCTTGTCTGTTTTGAAAATACAAATTATATGGCTGCAGCTCCTCCAGCGAATCCATATTTTTTTTCGTCCTCAAGGTCTTATCCAACAAAACCCAAAACATCTAATATGCCATCTGTGCAATATGTAGTTAGCAGAGCAATTTTGAAAATACCTGGTACCATAGCCCAAGAGATTCCATAAATCCTGCTGTTAAAACTAGAAAGTTCCCTGGCCCCTATACATCCTGCTTTTCTAAATGTCTTTGGGAAAGAAAGGTAATATTTGGTACCTACCATATTCCCTAAACCCATCCAAGTTCCAGCAGCAGATGTCTCCTCTACCAGATCAAGCACGACAGCAGTCGAAGTGTTTAGGTCTAGGAGAGAATAGGGAATTTCAGATACAGGAGTTCTGTGTAGTTAAGTTCTTTGCAGATGACTGAATTATTGATTAAACACAATTATCTAGCAGTTCCAGAACTCTAGACAACTGTTTTCCCACTATTTGAAGCTTTGTGAGCATACAATGTATTTAAACCTACCTGTAATAAACTTTTCTTTCTAAACTTTCAGGAAGTGCATTTGAAGAACACAAGTAGAGGGAACACAGGAAACAGAAACTACAGAATGTAAGAACATGCCATCCACAAGAATGAAGAATGAATGTGCCATCTGCAGGATACTTTGCTGTAAATAAATTATTTGTTAAAGATTGGAAGACTAAAAAAAAAACAACCCTTTGTTTTAAAAAGCTTGATGCAATTTCAACCAATGGGCATTCTCCCAGTGAACAATGCAACTAAACATTCCAATATTAAGTCTTTAGAGAACAGAACATTTTAACCAGCCCAGAGCTAAAAAATTCTGTGGTTGATATATTACTGTTTGTTAACCTGTTTTAAATGTCCTGCACGAAAACTCTTAAAGTCCTGTGCCCCTCAAAAGCCTACAAATTTATGGGCCTTTGATGGATCCAATTGCACTAAATTAACCTATGAACACTGGCTGCTGGAGTCATTCATCAGCCTTGTCTAAGTGGTGGTTTTTTTATTTGCACTTCTTTACAAGCAACAGGCTGTTTGTTTTACAGTGTCTGCAAACATTGTTTGTCTATCCCTTCATATTTGCACAGTTTGACATTCCCAGTAACAGCAGCAGTAAGGTAACATATACAGTTTTAAACATCCATTAATTCCATCTGTGGCATTTTGACAAAATATGGGTTATAGATGCATTTGTTTTAAGACAGTTTTATTCTTCCTTCTCTTGCAAACATGCAATTTTTTTTGCAATTTGTGAGACAAAAGATTTTTAAAAGCAGTTAAAGCATACATAGGCTCTCAAACCAGTAATGATTCTTCCAGGTAATTATTTTGCAACAATATAGGTAACTTCTTTCTTCCTCCATATAATGCAGTATGTAAAATTTAGCATAACAATACACATATATCAAACAGTATGTAAAAAAATCTCTGTTTTATAGTACAACGGTGCTATTTTATAGTTTGTTACATGAAAGGGTCTGGCCAAAACAGTAATAAGTAAAAGCAAATATGGAAAGACCAAGCCAAAGATTAAATAAGAAAATACATTCAAAAATATTCAGCTTCAATCAATGAAAATGGCTTCAGATTTCAACTAGAAAATAACTTTATCATCTTCAAAAGAAAATTCAGACACTTGTTTCCTTTTAGCTTTTTGAAGGGTGGTGTTTTGACATCTGATTATGTGGAATGCAAACTCATAGTTGTCTAGGCCCAGAGAAGACAATTTGAAAAACAGCCCTCATGTGACTTCAAAGGGTAGTCCACCAGGGCCTAAATGTTCCTGAAATATCAGCATTCTGTTCAATCATAAAGGGGTACTCAAGTTTCCTTCCATTTTAATTCTTCCCATGATCAGGTGTGGCTTACCTGACTGTGAGCTGGGCTGCTGCATCTCTCTATAAATCAGAAAGGCTAACCTAATCACCAAATTACTAGTGTAGAATGAGTCTTCAAGGAGAGATTAACAAAACATCCTTACACCCTTACTTAAAACTGCCATTCACGTGCTCTTGTGGGAGACAGATCCCCAGATAATCCCTGCCATGTAACTTTGATGGGCCCTGCAGTGGTTCTACCTTGAATAACACCGTGTCCTCTACTGCATTTCTGAAAACCAGCCCAGTGTAGATTGGCCAAGCAGTGAAGGGTCATAGGCAGCCAAGAGTGTCTCAAGGTGAGCATTAAACATACCTGTGGGAGAAGGGAAGGTAGAGGAGAACGCACTGTTCCACCCTGTTCAAGAACTCCAATGTGGTCCCATTCAACTTTTTTTGTATTAGGCTCAGGCAAGGGATGAAGCATCTCTTGGTCAGGCTCCAAAGGGGGCCTGGAAAACAGTGTATGAAGGGAGCAGTTAGGGAGGTGGTAGATTAGATCTATAAAGGATGTGTCTCCTTTTGAAGGCTGCTCAAATCTGCCTTACTTTCCACTGCAACCAAGGGAGTCAGTAACTATTGACTTCAACACAAGAGAAAGCTCTCTCCAGACTACATATGTACAGCTCCTCAATAGTCCCTTGTAAACGAGTAGGAAAGGCCATAAAAGTCTAACAAATTATTGTAGTTTCTTTTATATTCCCATAGCAAATTTGCGGTTTGTATTCTTAACAAGTGCAATGTATTCCTATACAGCTCTTTAAACCCTCTGCTTTCTGTGAGATGGATGTCTATATGCACAATAAGCTGCCATAGCAATGTAAAAGTAGAACAGTAAATGAATAAAAAGAATATGTCACAGCTCTCACTGACTGAGATAGTTATGTTGAAAAAGGAAGAAAGAAAAGAGAAACTGATGTGGAAACTAATCTAAATTATTTACCACCAATTCAATAAACAGAGTTAGCAATTCTGATACCTGTCACAGCTCCTACAGGCTTTTTTTTCACAGGGGGGATGGAGAGGGAAGGACTTTTATTTTAATGGCTATAAGAATTCTGCAACGTAATCTAAGAACAAACCATTATTTTGATGTAATGGACATAATACAAGTTTCTATTTCATGCCCCATCAACCTTTCTGTCCCCTGTTTCTTCTGAAGTTCTAAGGGGAAGAGGGAAGAAAGGTGTGAGCATAGAAAGCAATTTACAGATATCTGTGGCAGCAAGTTTCTTTGTAGATAACTTTTTTACTGATGTGCTTTTAACTGAATAACTATCCATCATTTTGCATTAATTCCTGTAAATTAATTCAAATTTTTGGTCTTATCTTGGGATTCACACACTCACAATCATGCCACTGTATTACTCCTGCTGAAAAACCATAATTGGAAAATGTCACTCTGAAACAGCAATATTTATCACAATTTGACAACTATCTAAACAAATTAGAACAATTCTTGAAAGCAACTAAAATAAATACTGAATAGCTGCAAACTTCAAAGGCAACACTTTGCTTTACTAGAGAATAAATGATATCACAAAATGGAAAGTAGCTCCAGCTGCACAGAGGTCAGAAATGCACGGATGGGGAATGCATTTTGTATAGGAAGTCTCCAGTCATATGGCAGGGAGCATATTTTAAACCAGTTAGTGTGAAAGATAAAGGGCTGCATGAGCTTACTAATCACAATAATATCTGCTACTTAAAGAAGTTGAAGTGTGAGCCAAAGCACCTTCCTCCAAAAAGTACAAAGCATCCTGTCTTGAAAAACTTCTAATTAAATAAATTGGAAGGTTCAACTGGACTTTTAAAAGCACTCCAGATATTTAGGAACAGGGCTCCCAACAGATGCTGTATATTCTCATAAGTCACTGAAATGGTAAAGAAAAGCCCATTTCTCACCCTTCCCTATCGTATAAGTTACATGACAGAGATCACAGATCTTTGCTTTCTAGAATAGACTTAGAACTCCAACTATTACACAGAATATCACTGAAATGCATAAGTAAAAAGCGAATTAAGCCTCATTTTCAGTCAGTCCAAAAAGCACTGCAGATCTAAACACACTGAAGTTACTATCTCTCTTTCATCAAGGTAGCAAAATTTCATCTCCATAGTAAATGTAGTTAGTCATTAAGAGTTTAAACGGAAAATTAATAAATCCTTTATTCTTCTCAAGATGTAGTTATAAGCCCACACCTCCATTTCCACTAAGGACTTCTACAAGCTCATTTGCACCATTCAGTCAAGAGAGACAAGAAAATCAAAGCATCCAGTCCTGGTAGATACATGAAAATAGGTCCCCTTTTTTCCAAAGGCAGTTCACCATGTTGATTACTTTGGTAAGACTGAAGGGTGAATTAGTGGTAAGCTTTCTTTACAGAATTGAATTCCACACACAGCTAGGAGCCATGCTCAGTTGCCCCTGAGCTCCTTGTTCTCTCAGTACCAATGGTTAAAGTTGATTAATGAAGACTTTAGGCCAAGCACTGTGTCTTCTTGTTCTTCATTCAACAAGCAAGTGTGTGATATGGCAAGATCAGAAAAGCGTATTTGCGTATTTGCTTTACCTGTTACTGATTTGGCCAACAATGCCAAAGTGGTGCTATTGTTTTGTTTAAGAAAGTACTTGACTAAAATATAAAAGAAAGCATAAATATTTTTTTAATGTATGAAAATGACAATTACATAGGTATGGTTATTAAAATAGAAATAAAACTAGCCATAACTTTTCAACTTTTTGTCACTCACAAAACAGTAATCTTATATCAATACAGGTGCGGCACGAATAAGAATCAAAATGCCACAAAAATTCATAGACTTTAAATGAAATTCTGAATCTTTACTCCAAGTCAGAAATTCAGATGAAGAAAAGTGTTAGAAGTCAGGGAACTGAAAACCTTGATATGACTGAAAGCCTTTCAGATTGTGCAAGTTCTATAACATACCAGAGATTTTTAAGCCACACTCTAGTCTGAAATCAGTGTAGAGTTTGGCTTGGTCAGTGGCAAGATACAATCAAGATTTTCACTGAGCACACATTTTTTAGTTTTACCTGATTCATTTCTCACTCATGGTACATAATCCAAAACTAAATGTTCTTAAAACCTGCAAAAGACGCAAGCATATCTGAATTTAACAAGGAATGAAAAATATTATTCCTAACAGGAAACTGTTTTTTTCAATTCTCACCAGTTCCAAATTGTGAGAAAAAGTTGAAATATATGGCTAACAGTCTGTGAATTTTTTTTTTTATTACTTTATGTGGTCTCTATGAACATCCTTATGTGCAAAATTTCACATTTCATTTTTTTTATTTTGAAATTATGCTAAATTAAGCCCAAAAAGAGATTATTGGAACCTATCGGCCAGATAGAATACTTATGTTGTTCTGATGAAGGTATAAACAATATATTTAAAATGTTTTATTTTTAGTCTGAAAAGGAATAGTAATAATTTATTTTTGAGGAGGAGGTCTACTTGAAAAGGTCCCTCTTTTCAGGATACTAGTCAGTGGAAATTAGTCTTCCAAACACCCAACTTCTAATCAAAACCAACGTTTATTCCTCCCTCTTGCTCCGCCCAGAAAACTTACTTAGAACACTATTGCAACATAATTCTATTGTTTGTCTGTTTGTTTGGGAGGGTTGTTTTGCTTTGATTCATTTTGTTTTGATTCTGGGGACAAGGGGTAAAGGAGGAGGAGATGAGGTTTTCGAGTGATATTTTTTTCTCTTGGGTACAATCCGCATAAAATAAAGACTTTTTCTTAATGAGATTACTAATTATCCAATTCATGTGTGGAAGTGGCATTCAGTAAAGCAACTAGATTAAATTTGTCTTGAAAGGAAGATTTCAACACAAAGTTGTTACCCATTCTACTCCTACACTAAACATTTTGCCTCTGACAGCACTAGAATATTCTACTGGACTATAAATGCCCAAACACACAGCATCTGATATATAGAAATCTTCTTTGACTTTATTTTACACAAAGGGTGTTACAGGAATGTCTGAAATTTGACTACACATCAGGAAGTATAGAGATGCCATTCTGGCAGAGACCAAAATAGGA